GGCTTCCCCGGGTTGGCCGCGGACGAGACTGAGGTTCAAGGTCAGAGGCTGGGTGGAAGCCAGGTCCTGTAGCGCTACATTTCAACGACCCGGGGAAGAAGTGGCACCCGGCTCCAGGCAGCACCCCCGCCCTGAGACCGGGAGCCCCGGGGCAGGCTGGCATGGAGTCTGTCACTGTTGTTCTCTGACTCACACACCCTTTGCACGCTCAGCCCCAGCCGGCTGTGCCCAGGCCAGAGCCGCTTCTCCAACCCCATCCAGCTGGTCAGCTTCCTTGGACGTCTCAAATGGTCCCGGCGGGGGGGGGGGGGGGGGGGGGGGGGGGGGGGGTTGTCTGTAGCCAGAGAAACTCACGTGGAGGCATCAAACTGGGCTGCCCAGAAAGTCCCGAGAGCTGGCAGGAGGTGGCAGGTGGCAGCCCCAGTGGCCTCCCTCTCTGCCAGGCCCTCCCCGCCCTGTCCACATCGACCCCCCAGTCCTCCCCAGTGGGCAGCCTGGAGCAAGACGCACCAGTACCCTGATTCGGATTCCTTTACTCTCTAATCCAAGCCTATCTTTGTTTGCATCTCCCTCTGTCTTTGCCAAGAAGATCATTCAAACAGACATGCCAGGCCCAGAGAACTGACAGTCCCCGTCCACTGGCTTCTGGCCTAGAGGCTCTTCCAGGACCTCAGGGCTCCACCTCACTCTTGCCACCTGCGCTGTGTCCCCATCCCTCAAACAGCCTCTGGGTCACCCTCCGGGACCTACTGGGTGACCTGATTGCTTTACTGATGGAGAAACTGAGGCGAGGAGAGACTTGGCCAGAATCCCCTCGACCTGGCGACTCAAATCTAGTCCAACCCCAAAGCCAGCGTCCTTTGGTTTGTTTTTAACGCCTAAAGTCCCCCACTCTTGGCCCCCAGCCGGAGGAGCAACAACTCGAGAGAACCAGGCTTCAGTGGGAGGGTGGCCTAGAAGGACTCCCGGGGGGGAAGCAGGATGGGCAGGGCTCCGGTGGCCACGGTCCACTCTGGTCTTTCCCAGTGTCTGCTCCCTAGTACCCCGATTTCAGGGCTGTGGTATACTTAGCAGCTCATCCGTTTCTGCCCTCCAGCCAAGTGTTCCTTCATCAAACAGACCTACAGATTCTAGCAGGTGGATTTTTTAATACCTCTTGGCCCGTCTCCCTGGCTCTGGGCCCACCCAGAGAAGAAAGGAGGAAGTTTTCCAGGGTTACTCCTACTCCAGTGCCCACCCCCGGCCCTCTCACCTGCTCCCCATCCCCCCACTTCTGGAAGCTAGGGCTGCGGCCATAGCCACAATCCCAGATGCCACCACAGCCACCACAGCCACCTCTGCCTCCCGCCCCCCCTCCCCCCCTGAATCTTGGCTCTTGTCTTCTCGTTCCAGCCCAGGCAAGTGGCTGCCTCTTGCTAGGTTCTGCTCGCCCACTTGGTAGCACAGTTAGGCTTAGGCATCCAGCCCAAGGCAGACAGACAGGGCTCAGAACCTCAGTCCTGCCATGGAGGACGGGCAGCAGAAAGAGAAGGTACGGAACAGAGCCTCTGCCTCTTGCCTGCCTCCTGCCGCCAATAGCCCCAGACCCTCCTGTCTCTCTCTCTCCCTGCCGGACTCTCTCTCTCTGCCAACTCTCACCCTCCTTGCCAGGCCACTCAGCTCTTTCTTGTCCCAGCGCTGCCTCCATGCCACCCCCATCCCATCCCACAGACAGGGAAAAACCTGTGGCTTCCCCCTCATCCAAAGGTGCTGTAATCATCTGGCTCTCTCTGATTTTTTTCTTCTTCCCTCCTGTTTCTCAGCCTGGCCAGGGTGGGAGAAAAGGAGGTGGGGAGCTCTGGGAGGGGGCAGTCACCTCACTGCTGGCTGGCTCATAATCCCCAAGTGAGAAAGGCGGGGCCCTGTGCATTCAGACAGGTGAGAGGTCCCTCTGACCTCTGCCACCCCCAGCAGGTGCCATTCATCCTGACTTGGTTCCCCGGAGCCTTGGCAAGATCCGTGGCCACACCCCACCCTCCGTGTCCATACCTGCATCTCCAAGCCCCAGAGAGATGGAGACGCCTATAGCTCGAGGGCTGGGAAGCCAGGGCTGGCACCACCCAAGAGGCTGTCTCTGATCCCAGAGATGGGCACTTAAATGCTCAGGACGGCAGCTTGGGATTACCAGGGCCTCCCAGAGCCGGTGGGAGAATGAGCAGGATGTTCTGCTGCCTGCAGGTGAAGCCGCTGGGCTTCCTCAAGCCCTCCTCCCTGACGAAGGTCGCCAGCCGCTTCAAGGCACACCAGGAGTCTCTGCCACGGCTGCCCGTGCCCCCGCTGCAGCAGACCCTGGACCATTACCTGAAGACCCTGCAGCCCATCGTGAGCGAGGAGGAATGGGCCCACACCAAGAAGCTGGTGGAAGAGTTTCAGGCTGCAGGGGGCGTGGGAGAGCGCCTGCAGAAGGGGCTGGAGCGCAGGGCCAAGAAGATGGAGAACTGGGTGAGTAAGAACTGCGGGTGCACCGACCCCCCAGGCCCACGGGGGCTAAAGGGAACAGGGCCCCCCAGAGGCTGTGGGTCCTGTGAGAGTCCTCCAGGGAGGTCTGCCCCTGCTGCACACAGACGCTTCCAACACCAGCCGCTCTGGTGCATTCACTGGCGCCACAGTTTCATGGGAACTTACGCTGTGCCTGGCACTAGGCAGAGTGCTGGGTGAGCAAGAGACAGTTGATGCCTTGAAGAGCTGACATTCAAGTAGGAAGGGGAGAGAGGTGATTAAACAAGACACGTGAGTGGTCAAGGTCATTTCTGTAGAAATGAAAAAGGCTGATGTGCCCTGGCCGGTGTGCTCAGTTGGTTGAGCACCAAGAGGTCACTGGTTCAATTCCCAGTTCTCTCTCTCTCCTTCTCTTTCTCTCTCAAATCAATGAAAACATTTTTTAATTTTTTTAAAAGGGTGATGAGAAAGCGGGGTGGAGAATGGCAGCGTCTTTATTCTGAGTGGGCAGGGAAGGCAGGGAGGAGGTGGTGTTGGGTCTGTGACAGACGGAATAGCACCAGCAAAGGCAGGTGAATCCAGGAACAGACGGAGGCTGGAGTGGAGTGCCAGGGTGGGAGGGAGGGCTGCAAGCAGAAGGAACTTGGACTTGAGCTCAGTGGGAAGAGGCTGCGGGCTGGCTTCAAGCAGGGGTCTGTGTTCAGTGACGGACTGCTCCGGTCTGTGTCTCAGTCGGTCACGCAGGTGCGCTCACCTTGTGGAAATGTGTGTACATGGATGCTCCGTGCACTCTTCTGTACGCATCTTACACCTTAACCTAAAGTTTAGCATGACCGCCCTGGCGCTGGGAGGGAAGACGAGTGAGAGCAGGAGGTGGTGGGAGGGCTGGTGCCGTCACCCGAAGGAGATGCTGGCAGGGAGAGGGTGGGAGTCATTAGGTCCAGAGTATGTCTTGGTGCTAGTGGTACTTGTTGATTGGGCTGCTGGGAGGGGGGACAGTCCTGACCTAAAGCAACTATGTGGGGGGGCGGGGGAGAGGAGGACTTCCGGAGAAAGGGATGATGAGGGAGAGGCGGGTTTGTAGGAGAGCCACAGAAAGCCCCATGAGGAAGAGGTGCTCTGAGGGGTGCAGGTGGAAGCGGGGGCTGCACAGAGGAGGCAGGAGTCTTCAGCTGGTGGATGGCTGTCCTGAGCCTGGGCAGCTCAGGGCCTTGGACTCCGGAATCAGGAGCTGAGAGTCTGGGGCCCAGCAGTGTGTAACTTGCTTTTTAGCCTGCAGTTCCTCCAAACATCCGCTGGCGTTCAGTGCAACCTGAGCACGTCACACCCCTCACCCCTTGCCAAGGGCCCGAGGCTAATGGCCTGGTGCCGGCGGCCGTTTCCTAGGGGGCGTCTGGTCAAGAGGCACATCCTGCCCATTGCTCTGGGGCTGGGGAGGCAGCACAGCGGGCGCGGCCTCCAGGGATGAAAGGACCCGCCGAGAGAGGCGCTGGGCAGGCCCCTGGAACGGGTGCAGGGCGGACAGTGTTGCAGTCAAGCACATAAGGCTCAAGGGTGACGGTCCCCTGGGAGCCGCACGGCCCCAGGACGGGAGCCTTCACCCTGTCCACGTAGGTCCCCAGAGGGGCAATGCTCACCCACTGGTGCAGCCCACATTGTGTCACTAGTGCATGGATTTATCCTCAGTGGCTTCCCCAGATTGCCTGACCTTGAGATCCAAGGAGTGTCCACTGCCCAGTCTGACACCAACAAAACTGAGGCCACTTCGGGCCGGGATCTCCAGATTGACATTGAACCCTGGGCCCCTGCTTTCCTGGAGAATGCCCACTGGGATGAGCAGAAACTCATTCATGGACTTCCTTTTCCTATATTTTTCTCTGTTCTTTTCTATCTATCAGACATACATTCTTACTATTTCTAAAAGTAGTAAAAATCATTGACCAAAATTTGTAAGATGATGAAACATGATTCAGTGTGGTTCAGTGGTTGAGCGTCGACCTATGAACCAGGAGGTCATGGTTCAATTCCTGGTCAGGGCACAGGCCTGGATTGCAGGCTCGATCCCCAGCGTGGGGAGTGTACGAGGCAGCCGATCAATGATTCTCTCTATCATTTGTGATTCAGAGGCTACTGTCTTACTTCTGAAATATGGGGGGTTGGGGAAAGGGAGACAACATTCCCCCCCCCCCCCCCCCCCCCCCCCCCCCAGGTTTCCTGCCAGGCTTTTTTCTCCCACATCTTCTCCTTGGCCGGGGGTCTGACTTCTCTTGCTGATTGGCTCCTGCTCAGGGGAGATGATGGGACACTGCTGGTGGGTTTAGGGGGCGGGGGTTCTGGGCCTGAGTATTCGCTTTAAGAACCTGTGCTCAGAGAGGGCAGAGAGTCCCCTCGCCCTGGGGGGAAGGGTCACCGAGTCCCCCCCACCCCTCCTGACAGGTTCTGGTCCTTTCCCCAGCTGTCCGAGTGGTGGCTCAAGACGGCCTACCTCCAGTTCCGCCAGCCCCTGGTCATCTACTCCAGCCCCGGCCTGGTGCTGCCCAGGCAGGACTTTGTGGATCTGCAGGGACAACTCCGGTGAGTGGCTGCGGCTGGGGCAGGGCCAGGAGGGGCGGGGCAAGGCTCCTGGGCATTTCCAAGGCCCCGAGGACCACTTCCTCCAGGAGGTTGGAGGGGCCCCAGTCCTGCTCATTCTCTTTCATCCCCACACATAGCCCGATGAAGTAGGGAGTGTCATTCCTCCTTTACAGATGGGGAAACTGAGGCGCAGAGCAGGGAGGGGCCTGCCCAAGATCACCTTTCAGTATTGGCTGAGCTGGGACAGGGAGCAGGGTCCTCCCGGCTCCAAAGCTTCATAGCTGTTCACCACCACACCGTGGACTGCGTCCCCTCCCTGTCCCTAAACCTGGGGCCACCCCCACCCCAGTTCTGCACTTCACCCCTCCTTCCCTCTCGCCTCTGGCCACAGGGACGACCTTTGTACACAGTCCCCTTTTCCACATTCGGCCATGTCACTTGCCCTGGCCTCTGTTCCAGTCCGACCAGAGATAAAAATACCAGTGACAAGCATCTCCTGCCCAAGCACCAGCCGCTGTGGCCACCACCTGCTTCTCTTAAAGGCACCAGGGCACCCGGGAAGGTCTGGGGGTTCAGGCCCAGGAACTCCAGATGGTGGCCCCCATGTTGGGGGCCAGGGGCAGCCAGGCGCTGGACATGGCTGGTGTAGCCCACATCGTTCAGGGAGGAAGGCCAGTAGGAGAGGTGGCCTGGGAGACAGAGGCCCAGAAGCAGGTAGAGACCTAGGGGAGGGGCCCCCTCGAGCCACTGCCCTCCATTCACACTCCCGCTCCCTGGGGCCCGGGTCCCTCCGTAGCTAGTTCCTGAGGGAAGGGTGTCCTCCTTCCAGACTCCCGACTGGTTTGGGGCTCGAGCCCTGTGGGTGGAGCCCAGCCCCGATCAGGCTGCCGTGCCTTGTGCCTCGGCACCTACATCTTGCCGGCACTTGGCAGCAGTTTCTCCCTGAGCCCTCGCATCTCCCTCTAGAGGTTGCGAGAAAGCAGGCTCAGAAGGGCGAGCTGGAACTTGAACACAGACCCACTCCTTCAGCTTCTGCAAGCCCTGCGCGAGGATGAAGCAATCGGCGGCTCCCTTCACCCCGCAGGCGTCCCTGACCTGGGACTGTCCTCAGGGTGTCCACACCTCTGCTGATCTCTGATTGTTCCCTCTAGGTTTGCTGCCAAATTCATCGAGGGTGTGCTGGATTTCAAGGCCATGGTTGACAAGTGAGCAGTCCGGCCCGCCCCTACCTGCCCGCCTAATTGACAGAGTCACTCCAGCTTGACCCAAGCCCTGGGTGCTGGGCAGGCCAGAGCTCGGTTGCTCTCACTTCCTGTTGGCCCCGCCTCTGTGGGGAATGGGAGACAGGGCCTCAGGATTGGGATGCCTGGGTCCCGCTCCAGCTGCTGGGACTTCCTCCCGGTGACCCTGTCCCGAGAGGCCCCGCAACTGGCGTTCCAGCCAAACAGGCCCTGGAGGTCATCGCCCCCTTGGCAAACTAAAGCCCAGAGAGGGGAAGGGAGTTTCCAGGGTGACTCACGGCAGGCCTCCTGCCCCAGCCCAGCAGGCAGCCCTGCGTAGGCCCAGGGGAAGTAGGGACACAAGGAGGGCAGCCGGCCACTGCTGTAAACCCTGACTCAGCTCTGCCCAGCCCCCAGCCGCTTCCTCCTCCCTTCTCCCTTCGTACTTGCCCAGCGGCCCCTCACTGTCCCCCTGCCCCACAGTGAGACCCTTCCCGTGGAGTACCTGGGCGGGAAGCCGCTGTGCATGAACCAGTACTATCAGATCCTGTCCTCCTGCCGCGTGCCAGGCCCCAAGCAGGACTCGGTCATCAACTTCAGCAAGACCAAGAAGCCGCCCATGCACATCACAGTGGTGCACAACTACCAGGTGGGTGGGCCCACGCTGTGCAGGGGAGGAGGGGCAGGGCCCCCACACATGCCCCTGAGCCCCAGGAACAGGCATGCTCTGGGCATCTCTACTGGGCGCCCGGCTAGGCTCCAGCCTCAGGGACGCCAAGAGGGGCCTTGGCCTGCCCAGCCTGGGGAGAACAATGCGGGGACATCCTCCTCCGCCCTCACCCTTGGCCTGACCGTCCCCTCAGCTGGGCCCAGGACAGCACTCACTGTGGCCTCTGGGCTGCCCGGGCCAGGAGGCGGTGGGGGCGGGACGTGACTGCGGCGGGTCTGAGGTCGTCACCAGCCCCTCCCCGCCCGCCTGCACCCGGACAGTTCTTTGAGCTGGACGTGTACCACAGCGACGGGACGCCCCTCACCTCGGACCAGCTCTTCGTGCAGCTGGAGAAGATCTGGAACTCGTCGCTACAGACCAACAAAGAGCCCGTGGGCATCCTCACCTCCAACCACCGCAACTCCTGGGCCAAGGCCTACAACACCCTCATCAAAGGTGCCCGCGGTGGGGGGGCCAGGCCTAGGCGGCACGCTTCTCACTGAGTCCTCTCCGCTCGGGAAACAGCTGGATCAAATTTGTTTCCCCATATTAAGGAGCAAGTGGGATGAGAGTCTAAGTCCCCTGGCTGAGGAGCCCCCGTCTGCCGTCACAGTCCCCCCAAACCCCGTGTTGAGTCAGGGACCTGGGTGGGATCTGCCTGTTTCTAAAGTGGGCCAGGCACTGGGCGCTCCTCACAGGGGCTGCGGGGCTTCAGGGTCCTGTTGAGTGTGAAGCCGTGAAGCCCGTCCCAGCACTCCGGAACGTTCTGGAGGCCCGGCCACCCCAGGCCTGACACCCCCGTTTTGTGCCCCCTCCACCATGCGGCCTGCAGACAAGGTGAACCGGGAGTCGGTGCGCTCCATCCAGAAGAGCATCTTCACCGTGTGCCTGGACGCAGTCATACCTCGGGTCTCAGAAGACATGTACCGCAGCCAGGTGGCCGGCCAGATGTTGCACGGGGGCGGCATCCAGCTCAATAGCGGCAACCGCTGGTTCGACAAGACGCTGCAGGTGAGGACCGGCAGCCCCCCAGACACACACCCACACAGTCCCCTGCAGCCTCGGGACTTCCTGTTCCCGCTTGTCCTGGCCTCCTGGCTGGTAAACAGATGGAAGTCATCGCGGCTGTAATTACCCAGCAGTCAGCCTGTCATTACTGGGCCTGGCCCAGAAACTGCTGTCACCCCAACACCCCCTGCAGCACCTCAGAGGCCAGGCACAGAGGCGCAGTTTGGCCATGACTTTCCCTCTCTGCGCCTGTAAAATGGGGCTGTGGGAGGACTCCCGGGTAGAAGAGTTACAGGGACTCAGCGAGGTGTACCAGCATGGGGTGTGCTCGGTGTAGCCCCGATGGGTGTTAGCTCTTACTAATAATTGTAATAAGTCAGCGTAACTCCTGAGGTGGCTCCAGGGACGGGTTCACAGGCCCCCTCCCCCTCCACAGTTCATCGTGGCAGAAGATGGCTCCTGTGGGCTCATTTACGAGCACGCAGCAGCAGAGGGGCCGCCCATCATCTCCCTCGTGGACCACGTCATCGAGTACACGTGAGTGTGGGTCCCCACCCTCCCCCCATCTCCCCAGGCCCTGGTGACGGTGACACACGGGTGGCAGACCGCCTTGTGGGGGATGGCATTTCCCTAGGCCTGGTAACCTGTTTCTTCCAAGGAAGCCAGAAGGAGGCATGGGTTTGCATTCTGGCTCTGCCACTTCCCAGCTGCATGGCCTTGGACAAGTCCCGTCCCCTCTCCAGGCCTCCTCCTTTGGCCACCTGAAAGCTGGAGGTGACTTCAGAAGAACTCCAAGCGTCTCCCTGGGCTGACCCCCTCCAGCTTTAGGGATCCATCCTCCCCACCCAATCCCAAGGATGGGCCCAGGCTCCCCCAGCACCCGCATGAGCCCGAGCCCATGTCCCCGCAGGAAGAAGGCTGAGGTCGTGCGGTCTCCCATGGTACCCCTGCCCATGCCCAAGAAGCTGCGGTTCAACATCACCCCCGAAATCAAGAATGACATTGAGAAGGCCAAGCAGAATCTTAGCATGTGAGCACCGGGCGCTGGGTGGGGGCCAGGCCCCTGGAGTCTGGCAGGCTTTTGTTCCAGGTCTGTCACGGAACCCAGCTGGTTCTGAGACCTCTCTTGCGGGGGCTGGCAGGGCTGCCAGGTGCCTGCTCCTCACCGGCCTTGTCCCCAACCCCCAGCATGATCCAGGACCTGGACATGATTGTGACCGTGTTCCACCACTTTGGGAAGGACTTCCCCAAGTCAGAGAAGCTGAGCCCTGACGCCTTCATCCAGATGGCGCTGCAGCTGGCCTACTACAGGTGAGCCCCTGCCCGCCGGGACGCAGGTGGAGACCTGGGGGCAGAGATGGGATGTGCTCAGCCCCGTTTCCACCCAGGGTCTACGGGCAGGCCTGTGCCACGTACGAAAGCGCCTCCCTGCGCATGTTTCACCTGGGCCGTACTGACACCATCCGCTCGGCATCCACGGAATCACTGACCTTTGTCAAAGCCATGGATGACTCCACTGTGACGGTGAGAGGCTCAGGGTGGGGGTGGGTGAGCTGGGCTTGAGCCATCTCCCTCCCTGTTCACTCTGTCAACACACATTGATTGAGCACCTACTGTGTTCCAGCCCGATGGTGGGCACTGGGAATATAAGAGAAGGTAGAGCTATGGATTTAGCTCTGAGCTTCCTGGCAGCCCAAGAGAAAAGGGAGCTTTCATTCACTCACTCATCAGCAGTGAGCATCTGCCCGAGAGTGATGGTGGCTCCACTTCCTCTTCTCAGAATGTAGTGCCGGTGGGAGCGGGCTCCTGAGATGGGGGCAGGAACAGGGAGGGGCAGTGCTTCAGCTCCGTCTCCCCTCACCCCACAGGAGCATCAGAAGGTGGAGCTGCTGCGGAAGGCTGTGGACGCCCACCGCGCCTACACCAACCGGGTGAGCGAGCCCTATTAGCCTGGCATCTCCCACCTGCCGGTCCACTCCTGCAGCAAACAGCTGCTCACTCTCAGCTTGAGCGACCCCTCCCCTGAGCCCTGGGGCATCTGGAGCAAGGCTGTACATCCCCATTTTAAAGTTGGAGACACTGAGGCTGGGCCCAGTGACTGCCCTGGCCCCAGGTTCCAGGTGAGCTTCTGGATCGTGTGTCATGGAGCCAGGACGCTGAGGGCACACACTGCGGCCGACAGCAGGGTTCCGCCATGTGACAGCTCAGGCTGCAGTCGGCAGCGGGAGGCCTGGATTCCCGTGCTGGCCCTGCCTCTGAGCACCTATGCGCCAGGCTCTGCCCATGTTACACACAGATGTCCCTTTAGGTCTCACAGCCACCCTACAGGGGAGTTCAGTGACCGTCCCCATTTGACAGATGAAGGCACTGAGGTTCCAAGATGTATATGTGCCAACGTCCCAGAGCCAGGAGGGGCTAAGCCACCCAGCTCCAGGCCTGTGCTCTTAAACCCTGCACTGTCCTGCCTCCCTGGGCAGACCCCTGGGCCTCAGTTTCCCCATCTCTGAAGTGAGGGCTTTCCTGCCTGGCTGCTCTGGTTTCAGGGGTCTGAGGGGCCAGTGGACGGAAGAGGTGTTGCTGCCACAGGCTTCTGCGGAGGGCAGCAGCGCCCTGTGGTCCCGCAGCCCCGCTCCTGACAGGGCCCTCTCTGCAGGCCATCCGCGGGGAGGCCTTGGACCGGCACCTGCTGGGCCTGAAGCTGCAGGCCATCGAGGACCTGGTGAGCATGCCTGACATCTTCATGGACACCTCCTACGCCATCGCCATGCACTTCAACCTTTCCACCAGCCAGGTGGGCCACTGCCCGAGCCCCCGGGTCCCTGCCACTGCCCTGGGTGCTCTGGGGTGGGGTGGGGTGGAACAGAACCCACCGGAGCTGGAGCAGAAAGGCTGCACTGACGAGAGCCAAGGTCTAGAACGCGGTCAGACCTCGGTGGTGGCGTGGCCCACACAGGCCCCCAGAGGCCACTGCGAAGCGGCCGAGTTCTGGCAGAGGGGCCGGGTCAGGGGCTTCACTACAGCTCAGGCTGAGGAGTTGGGGACCCCCCAGGGGAGGATCAGCTTCATTCATTCACCGGTCAGACACGAAGGAAGGAACGTGTGCTCCGTGCCAGCCTGTGCTGGGTACTGGGGCACAGCAGGGACTGCACCATCCCTCCCCAGGGGCTCTCAGTGTAGGCTGGCAGCACAGGAAGTGCTAGGGGTCAGGGAAGTCCCGAGGAGGGAGCAGTAGAGCCCCCAAGAATGTAGAGGAGGCCCCCTGGAGGGTGACACCGGAACTGCACACGGAAGGAAGAAGAGGAAAGGTGTCAGGCAGGGCACAGCAGGAGCAGAGTCGTGGGAAGGCAGGCTGGTGCACTGAGGAGCTGGAAGGGACCTGGTGGGAAGGGCGAGTGCCTTAGTCCTCTGCCACCCCCAGGTCCCCTCCAAGACAGACTGCGTCATGTTCTTTGGGCCTGTGGTCCCAGACGGCTATGGCGTTTGCTATAACCCCATGGAGTCGCACATCAACTTCTCGGTGTCGGCCTACAACAGCTGTGCCGAGACCAACGCTGCCCGCATGGCGCACTACCTGGAGAAGGCGCTCCTGGACATGCGCGAGCTGCTGCAGAGCCACCCCCGGGCCAAGCTCTGAGCCGTGCCCCCCCTGCCCCTGCCACAGCCAAACCACTTCAGATGGGCCCCCCACCAGGGCTCCCCTTTGTCCCTCTTCCCCTGGGCCCTGCAGATCTGACCAAGCCAGGGTGGACTCCCCCAGGGCCCGCAGGCCCACGCCAAATGCCTTCCACGGGCCATCCCCAGCATCATGGGCTGTGCTCGGAGGCTGAGCAGGACGGAGGCCCAGGCGCCCCATGTATCGCCCAGAGCAGCCTTCCTCTGGGAAAGGAACCAGTCAACTCCATCCCCACCAGTGAGCCTGGGAAGTCCTTCTCTGATAGCTCAGCTCTGGCCAGTCCCTGCCATCTGGGCTGATCCGTACTCCAATCCTCAAACGCCCAAAGGCCTGAAGACAGGACTATCTGGAGTGGGGGACTCCAGGCCTCCCCACGGCCGAGGCCAGGGTGCGAGGCGGACTGGGGACGGGGCATCTCCCACAGGACTGCCGTACTCTTTTGGAGAATATGGCTGAACAATGTTCCTGGTTGTATAATAGTACCACGCGAGGCAATTAATAAAGGGAAAATGTCTTGGTGAAGAGGCGTTCCAGCTGCGGAGGCAGGCAGGTGGGGGGACACTGGGCCGCCTCCCGGCTTTCCCTGCCTGGGAGCTGGTGTCCAAGCAGCCATGGCCCCAGGGACTCCGAGGAGCCAAGAGGAGGTGTCCTCAGGCACCAGATTGCAGACCCCATTCTCAGACAACTCCCACCTGCCCCTCTCCAGTACCGTGGGCATATGGTGGGGACAGTTCTCCCAGGGAAGTAGGACCCTGCAGGCCCGGGTCTGGTGGGCCAGGTGTGGCCGACACCAGGGCCTAAGGCCTCATCCTGCAGCCCCCACTGAGCCCAACAGGAGTGCTGCCCCAGATCACATGACCACCTGATCAGAACCCTAAACCCGCCTGTCCCCAACCCCAGGCACCTGGCAGAAGCTAGGTGTCTTGCCAAAGTCAGTCTCTCACTCCAGGGGATACTCTGGCCCTAAGGCACGTGAAAACCAGAGCAGACGCTGGGGTGCAGGTGGGAGAGTAGGTGGAGCCTGTCAGGGTGCTTCCTGGCCTGGCTGACCTGGGACAGTCAGTGAGGATGGGGCCTGTGGTTTTCTCCTTTTTTCAGACGAGAAAACTGAGGCACAGAGAGGTTAGTCACCAGGCCACTAAACAGCAGAACAGATTCCCAGAAGCCATACTTCAGGTCAGGGTATCGGGAGCCCCTGTAGCCAAGCCCCCAGCCCCACGTCACACCCGCCCAGATGACCAGGGCAGGGGTGGAGAAGGGGAGGCCATGGGTGGACATGGGCCTGGAAGGCACAGGCAGGTGCTGGCTGGACTAGGGCACTGAGTCGGACTGACCTGTGTTGGGCCTGCTGGTCCCACCACATCTCCCACAGCCACAAGGTGGGGACTCAGTACCCTCCCTCTCCAATGCAGGTGAGAGGGTGTGCCACTTGCCTGAGTCCCAGGGAGCAGGAGGCAGAACCCACACAATGGGGGAGTGGGTGTTGCCCTGGGCCTGGCCATTTCTCAACTCCCCCGCCCCCCAGCAAGGCTGGCAGGGTGGAGTGATGCCAGGAGAAGGGGGTAGGGTCCATGAATGCCCTTTCCTGGGCCGGAGTGGGAAGACCAGGAAAAGACCATGACAATGCACAGCCTGCTGTCCTCATCTGTACAGTGGGGGTGATGCTGCTCCCTCTGGGGGCTCCTGGGAGCCCCAGGAAGTGGGGGCCCACAGCAGGCGTTGGTGAGTGCTGGGGAGTAGTACTAGGGCGGGGCTGCGGGGGGAGGCGGCAGAGTGAGCCAGGCCATGGGCACTGCAGACACCTGCGACTCCCACAACTCAAGTTCTAAGAACCACACAGGTCTGAACATAAGGCAGGGTTTCCCCAAACTCTCCTTCAGAAGTGAGGGCATGCCCTTGCCCTTGGGTGTTACAGGTCTCGTATGAAGGCTTACTCGACTCCTTAGCGCCGAAAGTCCACGGGGAAAGGCACAGTTAGCACCTGAAACAAACCGTCAGTATGAGATGCCGGCCTAGAGGTCCCTGGTGGCACGTGGGGAGGGAAAGGCAAGGAAACGAAGACCTTTAGCAACTACTCCCGAGGATGTGACTGTGCCTCACTCTTGGGAGTGCTGGGTGTGGGACAAGCAGGTGCTTAGGGTCTCTGGACACATGGGAAGGATTGGGGAGATGACACACCTACAGGGTTTTCTTAATCCGCTGTCTCAGTGTGATGCCAGCGGGCACTCGGGGCCTGGGGTAACATTCCCAGTGACCGCATCGCGTGTGAAATCCAGAAAGTGCTGCTGGGTCTCAGACCGCTCAGCCCATGGGCCTGGAGACTTCGGTCAGCGGGCCCAGAGGTGGGCCAGGGACAAGACCCTGATGCCAATGATGCAGATGAAGAACTTGATTTTTTTTTTTTATGAGCGAAAAAGAACTGTTCTAAAGTAATATATTTTGTGCAACACATTACTTGAAATGTGAACATGTAATAAACGAATGAATTAAAGATTTGGCTCTTACCTAGATCCCCTGTTTGTCTATCCAGATTGGCATGAACTCGACTTTGGCTCTTCGTGGGGAAAGTGCAGTGGCCGGAATCAAGGGCAGGCCTGTAGCGAAGCCTGCGAGGGGGTGAGGGCTAGACAGGGGGAGCCAGAGGCCACGTTGACGGCTAGTGCTCTGTCCGAGACCCGGAGGAGGGCATGTCGGAAGATGCCCAGGGGTTGGAGGGGGCCTGACCGTGGGGGAGCTTTGCAGCCTCCAGGCAGGGAGAGGGGGGACGGGACCCACAGAGGGGTCGGGGAGGTGGAGAAGAGTGGACATTCCAGACCCTTAGGAGCTGGAGCAGGCAAGACGTTGTGACCAACAGGAAAAGAAGTTGGGGGTGTCGATCGAGGTGAAAGCAGTCAGTATAGCTGGGACTCGGGGACATTCAGGGCTCACCAGCCCTTTCCTCTCCACTCTGGTCCTTCTGCCCTGTCGTGCAGTTTACTTTTCTCTTCAACTGAAACCTACCTGTTGAGCTCAGCTTGCTTTTCAGCGATTGGATTTTCCCATTTTGATCCACTTAAAAGTCTTGCAGGGTTCACCTTAGAGTTTCTCAGCCCCGCAGACATTTTCAAGTTTGTCTTTTGTCTTTAAAACACATCATCTAGTCTGTGGCTGACCTTCCAGCACGAGGTACTGGCAGGCTTGTTTCCGTGACCCGTTTCCGCTGGTTCTCCATCACGGTGTCGTGTCCTCTCGGCCATCTTTACCTACATTCTCTTCCCTGCAACTTAAAAACTACTCATACGAATGACTGAAGTCTAGGATGGAGGCTCCTTCCTCCAGAGGTTGGTTTGCTTCTGCCTTGTATCTCGGGTAAGGTCACGTTTACTGAACGTCAAGGTTCTGTGGACCGCGGGCGCCCTGACCCACAGCCTTCGAGCTCATGTGGGGACAGAATTCTTTCTGATCCCCTACTCTAGGGTGTGGCCATCCTGCATCTCAGCTCAGTGAATCAGGGAAGGATTCGATTCCCCATCTTGGCCCGCCCTTGGGATCGACTTCTATCACCTCACTCCCACAAGCCTCTAAAAACCCAGCTGTTTGCAGTCATTTCTTCCAAGGCAAGACCTTCAGCCATGCACACTCGAGAAATACTGGACTAAACACAGATCGGAGGTGTTACCTGGAGAGGCGTACCCTGTCCCCAGCCCCAGGGCTGTCATGGAGGAACGAGGCTGAGCAGGTCCAGAGCCAGGCGGGACCACGCAGGGAGCGACCAGGACCGGAAAGGGGGCATTCCAGCTCTCCGTGGCAGCGAGGTCTCCTCAGTGGGAAATGTCGCAGAGCCATTCACACGGCGGCACTGGGGGCTGGAGGGACTAGATGTCTCAGATGCTTACGATTTTATGTTTTTATGGTCCTTGCTCCTTGGGGTCACGTGTCTCCAGCCTCCTCTCAGGAGCTCAAGTCAACATGTGCTCAAGCTGCCAGAGTTCAGGATTTTATTTTAAAACAATAGTAAACAATTTCATTGATTTTTCTTAAATCAAACCACCTCACACTTGGCTTGTCTCAGGCAAAATGTAAAAAACAAGAAGGAAGGGGGGAGGGAGGAAAATGTGGGGACTGACCAACCTTCCCTAGAAACAGGCCCCGGCCCTGGCCTCTGGAATGGCTTTGGACACGGTCTTCAACTGAGAAAGGAAAGCACCCGAACATTGTGCTTCAGCAGCAGATTACGAACCTCCACAAAGAAAGGGAGGGGCGGGGTTCGAACACAGGTCCCGAGCAGCCTGGTTCAGTTCTAGAAACTTCCAAGAGTCTGGAAGCATGTCCACTCCACAACTCCACTTCACAGAGACGGAGAGATCAAGTCCCTTGAGGAGGAGCCGTCCTCTGAGCTGGACAGTGGGGCTCTGTGCCACACCCCAAAAGAGGCTCCAGGGTGCCCCGGGCAGTCCCCAGCCTCTCGGAGGGGTCGGGAAGGGTAAGGAATGCTCAGAGCGAAGGGGGGGAGGGCGCGGACGTCAGGCACCACGGACCCTCCTCACCCGCTCCGGTTCCTCTGCACTTGGTTCTCGTGGAGATGAAGACTAGCCGCTCCCGCTGGCAGGACCAAAAAGAGCTGTAAACAGCTTGGGTTTGCTCACCCACATGTGCAGGCTCTTTTGTCAGGAAGGGACCACTGTCTGGGGGACAGGGGACCGGAGAAAGCCCTTGTGGTGTAAGGGTCAGTGCGGGGTAGGACATGATAGCAGCCGCCAGACGAGCGCTCTCTCTAGGCCTGGCCCCCCCGACTCGGAAACACTGCATGAGGTTCTGGAATGGCAATGGTGGCAGGGAGGGCACGGGGCGCGCCCCTCTGCTGGGCCCCAGGCCACCGTTCAGGGCAGAGGGCCTGGGCCCTCTGTACTCGGGGCAGCCCCCGCAGAGCAGGCTCTTCCGGCCCCATCTCCAAAATCCTGCCTGCCGTCAACAAAACCAAAAATAAATAGTGTGTATTTTTCACGCCCCTGGATCTCCTGCCCTGCGAGCACAGGTGCCAGGCCTCCTCCTCTACCCACACCCCAGCGCCCACACCAGCACTTCCCACCAGGCCAGGGCTGGCGGCAGCGCAGCGCGGAGCTGGCTGTGTGGCCCCCGTCAGCAGGCGCTCCAGGATCCTGGCCGAGGGGCTGGCCTGGCCCTTCGGGCCACCTTGTTCATTAAAATTAAAGTAAGAAAACAAAAGGCTCCACTTGGCAACGGGTCTGTCGAGGTCTCCGCTTCATCCCTCTGCATTCTGTCCATCCCGCACGGCGGCGTGCAGGCCAGATGGAGGTGGACCCAGCCACCCTCACCAGTCACTGCAGTTTCGTCCCCAGCTTGCGTTGTCTGTTCCTGCAAAACAGCAGTGGGAGTCTGCAGTGAGGAGGGGACCCCTGGCATTCAGTGGCCCCCTTAGCGGTCCCCTCCCTACCCACAGTCCCATCAAAATGGGTGAGTGCCCCTCCCAGTAGCCCCAGTCCCTGACTCACCAAACTTCCTCCCGCCTGGCAGCTGTGCACATGCTCTTCCCTCTCTTGAGAACACTCTCCGCCCGCCCCCCCGACCTGGGCAGGCTCGCACTCCCTCCACACTCAGGTCTGTCTCCCCTGAGCAGCAGGCCCAACCACCGGCCCCCACGTCGGGTTTGTCCCGAGCTCTCAGGCCCAGGGCGCGCATCACACAGGAGGCGCCTTATTCTTCGTGGCTCCCCTGACTGCTGTGGCTGTCTCACTCTGCCCCCCCCCCCCCCCCCGGCACACGGCCTGGCACAGAGCACGCGTATACAGAAATGTTGGTAAATGAAGGCAGGTGGTGGCCAGCGGAGCCAGGTGACAGGGGCGGGGCCAGGCAGGGCAGGGCCCCTGGGACAGGACCATTCTGAGCGTCAGGTGGAGAGCCTGGGCCAGCCGGGCCTCTCCAATAATGGGATTGCCTGCCCTAACCACCTCAAATCCCCTTTCCTCCTGGATCCAGGGCTTTCCCTTTAAGCTCCTTAGGATAATTTGGACCATGATGCACTAGACACATTTCCAGGCTGCTCAGGTGCCTGGCCTGCCCTGTGACCCCTCTCACCACCGCCTCGGGGAAACCCCAGAGGCTCGCTCTGGAGTCTGACCTCGCCTCAGCTCCCCTCCGAACCCCGGCTGGCACCGACCCACGGAGGGAGAGCTGTCAGTAGACTCCAAAGCCCAGCTCTGCACCAACTTGCTGTGCAACTGCACCTCTGTTTACCCATTTATGGGGCGCATGTCTGGACTAAGCACCCTGAGAATCCCGGCTGCCCAGCTCTCTGGTTCTGGGCCACAGGGGTTAAAAGCATGGCTCTGGGCCCGACAGCCCGGGTTCCCAGCCCAGCGTCCCCACCCACAATCTCTACGTCATCCATAGTGACTCCCCCTCTCATCTCAGCCTCAGTTTTCTCATCTGTAAAATGCGGTCCCGAGGAGGATTCCAAGAGGCAGTGAAAAACAGTGCTTAGCCAAGTGCCTGGGTCTCGGGGAGCCTCTAAGAGCAGGAGCAGTGGCAGCCCCACTGAGCCAGGACCCAGTGAGAGCCGAACCCTTAACTCACCTGGCTTCTGCCCGGGTGACTGTGTACTCAAACCAGAGGACGTTGGGAATGAGGCTCGTGTCTCGAATTAGAAAGAACTCAGAGATAGGCCTGCGGAGACAGACACCCAGAACCCCAGGTCATGTCAGGGCACGAGCTTGTCATCAAGCCAGAGTCCCCCATCAGTGTGGAGTCAGCCATGCACCTTCCCCCCCCACCGCTCAGAGTCCTTGCCCGAACTGTGCCCCCCGGGCCACTGCGAGAACTAGAAGTGCCACCTGTGACACTGAGGCAGGGCCGCCCCCACCGTGCACACAGCTCTCGGGACTCAGGCTGCTTTCCGAGTCCCTGAGAGCCGAGGCGAGGACAGAGAAGCCACCTTAGCTTCTGGGCGTGAGGAAACGCCTGGGCAACAGAGAAGCCAGGCAAACGGGGCCTGCAGCCTCATGCCCACCAGAGACCTGGACCCTAGGGCTCTCCCAGGGAGACCGAGGCTGGGGTAGGAAACCCTAGGTCCTCCACTGACGGCCCTTCCGCAGAGGGGCCGGGGCCCTGGGGCCGGGGCAGGCGGGGCAGCAGCAGGGCAGGAAGCAGTTACCAGGACGCTATCCTGGGGAAGAGAGGAGTGAGGACCTCCTGGGTGAAGATGAACCAAGCGATGGCCATGAGGCTTCCGGCGACGCCCCCATACACCACCTGGCTCCAGGTGTGATACAGCAGGTAGACCCTGGGCCAAGGACAAGGGAAGCTCATGAGAGGCAGCCAGCAACAGGCCTGCACGGTCCCCCACGCCCAAGCGCTAGCTTCCGGGGACCTGTGTGCGCACAGGGAGACACGCACAGATAGGCATGAACTCCTGTGAACACAGCCTCAGGCCCCGACAGCGCCTCTCCCGACTCCAAGAGAGGAGATGAGACCCGCTGCCCTTCTCCCCAGCCCTGAACTCCGAGTTCGTC